CTTCCCTCCCCAGATCTTTAAGGATCACCCGCTAAAGCGGCATTACGACGTGAAAGCCACCGTCGAGCCCAAGGTGCCGGAACCCAACACGGCGCTGCTGTCCCTCGTCCTCATGGCCGGCACCTTCTTCCTGGCCTTCTTCCTCCGCAAGTTCAAGAACAGCGCTTTCCTGCCCGGCACGGTGAGGATGGGGGGGGACCACAGTGGCGTCCCACCCCACTGGACCCGGGGGCAGCGCTGGGAGAGGGAAAGGGATGCTCAGTGCATGTGGTTTCCCGGAAGGAGCTGTCTGAGACCGTGCAAACTCATTGCATGCTCCGCCAGAGGTCTTTGCTAGAGCTGGGTGCTGGTGGGGACAGAGTGAGGGGGGGACCCCTCGGCTGAGTGGGGACACAGGCGTGTTTAATGGGGTTACGGTGTCCCCGCAGGCCCGGCGCTTGATTGGGGACTTCGGGGTGCCCATTTCCATCTTCATCATGGCGCTGATTGACTTCTTCATCACGGACACATACACGCAGGTCCGGGAGCAGCGGGAGGGCAGGGTTGGGGAGGGGGAACAGGTGTCCCCAACAAGGGGACATGAAGCCATGTGCTGGTCCCTGTGGCCTGTCCCTGTCCCCTCACTCCCCCATCTCTGCTCCCATCCAGAAACTGAATGTCCCCAAAGGGCTGGAGGTCACCAACTCGTCCGCCCGGGGCTGGTTTATCAACCCCATGGGGAAGGACAACACCTTCCCCATCTGGATGATGTTCGCCTCCGTGGTGCCTGCCCTCCTGGTCTTCATCCTCATCTTCCTCGAGACGCAGATCACAACGTGAGGACCAGGGAGGGGGAACAACCGGGAGGGAGGGGAGGGCTGAGGGGTGCCTGGTGGGACAGGGACAGAAGAGGACCTCCCACCACTGACTCTTCCCCCTCCGTCCCCACCAGCCTCATCGTCAGCAAGCCCGAGAGGAAGCTGGTGAAGGGCTCCGGCTTCCACCTGGACCTGCTGCTGATCGTGGCCATGGGGGGGCTGGCCGCCCTCTTCGGCATGCCCTGGCTCAGCGCCACCACCGTCCGCACCATCACCCACGCGAACGCCCTCACCGTCATGACCAAGACCACCGCTCCTGGCGAGAAGTCCCAGATCTTGGAGGTCAAGGAACAGCGCATCAGCGGCTTGTTGGTGGCCGTGCTCATCGGTGAGCTGGGGAGGTGTCCCCCATGCTGGGTGACGAGGGCTGGGTGACCCCAACAGCTCTTCCTGACCTCTCCTTCTCTACCGCAGGTGTCTCCATCCTCATGGAGCCCATCCTGAAGTACATCCCACTGGCCGTGCTCTTTGGCATCTTCCTCTACATGGGCGTCACCTCCCTCTTCGGCATCCAGCTCTTCGACCGCATCCTGCTCTTGCTGATGCCACCCAAGTACCACCCGGACGAGCCCTACGTCACCCGGGTGAGTGAGCCCTGTGTCACCCGGCTGGGTGGTTGTGGGCTTGGGAGTGTCATGAGCTGCAACACGCCACGGTGCTGCCTGCAATTGCTTAGGGCTCCCCAAAAAGCCTTCTCCTTCAGTGCTGACCTTCACTGGGCTCTTTGGGCCTGCCACCCCCCAGCACCTCCGGAAGGGTGTGGGGTGTTGGATCTACCACCCTGACCCCTCTGGGCTCCTCGTCCCACAGGTGAAGACTTGGCGGATGCACCTCTTCACCTTCATCCAGATCATCGTCCTCGCGCTGCTGTGGGTGGTGAAGTCCACCCCGGCCTCGCTGGCGCTGCCCTTCGTCCTCATCCTCACCGTGCCCCTGCGGCGCTTCCTGCTGCCCAAGATCTTCCGGGACATCGAGCTCAAATGCGTACGTAGCCCCGGCACGGGCTGGGAGCCACTGTGGTGCTGTCCCTGCGCTCATCCTGGTGTCGATCCCCATCCCTGCCCCCATCCTCATCCTCACCTCCATCCTTGTCCCCATCCTTGTTCCCATCCCCATCCTCCTCCCTGTTCCCATCCCTGTCCTCAGTCCCATTGCTGTCCCCACCCCATCCCTGTCCCCAGCCTCATTCCTACCCCTATTCCCATACTCATCCCAGCCCCCATCCCTGTCTCCATCCCTGTCACTGTCCCTGTCCTCAATCCTGTCTCCATTCCTGACCCCTCCCCATCCCCATCCTCATCTCCATCCCTGTCCCCACCCCCACCCCTGTCCCCATCCTCATCTCCATCCCTGTTCCTATTCCTATTCCCATCCCATCCTCACCCTTGTCCCTGTCCCTGTCCCCATTCCCATCCCCATCCCCGACCCTGTCCCTGTCCCTGTCCCCGTCCCCGTCCCCATCCTCATCCTCATCTCCATCCCCGTTCCCATCCCTATCCCTGTCCCCATGCCCCCATCCCCCCCCTCTTCCCTGTCCCCACCCCCCACCCCTGTCCCCATCATCATCCTCACCTCCATCCCTGTTCCTATTCCCATTCCCATCCCCATCCTCTCCCTTGCCCCTGTCCTGTCCCCATTCCCATCCCCGTCCCTGTCCCTGTCCCCGTCCCCGTCCCCATCCCCGTCCTCATCTCCATCCCTGTTCCCATCCCTATCCCTGTCCCCATCCTCACCATTGTCCCTGTCCCTGTCCCCGTCCCCATCCCCATCCTCATCTCCATCTTCATCCCATCCCTGTTCCCATCCCTGTCTCCATCCCTATCCCCATCCCCATCCTCACCCTTGTCCCTGTCCCTGTCCCCGTCCCTGTCCCCGTCCCTGTCCCCATCCTCATCCCATCCCTGTCCCCATCCCCATCCTCACCCTTGTCCCTGTCCCCGTCCCTGTCCTCATCCCCATCCCCATCCCCATCCTCATCCCATCCCTGTTCCCATCCCTATCCCCATCCCCATCCCCATCCCACCCCCATCCAAACTGGGGACAGTCCCCTGCATGTGCTCTTCACCCAGTCACGCCTGGCATCGTCCAGGGAAGTGTCAGCTCTAAAACAAAACCTTGTAAACAAACATGCTGTTAATTAGACCCAAGGCACCAGCACAGGAGAGCGCTGGAGATATGTCCTGACCTCTTTTATTTACTCCATCTGACGTGGGAGAGGAGCCACGCTGTGACTGGACCCCAACTGCGCTAGGGGGCGTGCAAAGGAGAAAAAAGGAGGATGTTTCTTTCCTCAATGTGTTTATAATACACACAAAGATAACAAACAACAGACTGAGGTGAAACAAGGAAACTGAGGCAATCTATAATCTCAGGATAATACATATATATACACATTCTCACAATATTATATTATATATTACGTTATATTAAATTTTATATATGATATATGATATTACATATTACATATTACATGATATCGTGAGAGTGTGTATATATATACACACATATATATACACAGACACTGAGCAACAGTTTTCAAGTGCTTTATGAGCAACCAAGAGGTTTTCTAGAGGGATTTGTGGGCAGCTGATCAATCAATGTTGCCTACGTCCGGCAGAAATTCCTTCTGAGAAAGAGCAAAACTCGGTGCTTGTTTGAAAAGCGGATGAGTGAGGGATGGATGGTGGCGTCAGGAGCAGTCCAGAGAGAAAGTAAATGGGGAACAGGAGACAGCCAGGAAGCAGAAATGGGACACGAAGG